TGGTAAGTTTGATGCGGGAGTGAAATACCAGGAGAGGAGAAGAATGATAACAGCCTCGTTGTAAAATGTTTTTAGAAGATTATTTGAAATTTACTGCCAGTTAACTGTCAATAAGGGATCATCAGCATATTACAGGGCCTTATGGGGATAAGGTAAATTATATCGTGACACAAACATAATCCTCTGACGCCCACCCGCGATAAGTAATGTAGACCGCTTCCTTATATGGTGTGATGATTTGGTTCTCTCGTTGACAGACAGGTGAGGGAGAGGGTAGGACATTACCTTATTAGAGGGTATTGATTTTTGTCCTTCCGACAAAAAAACATGGAAATTCTTTCCTCTTTTTTCCGTCTTTTCCTTCTCTTTTTGAAACTTGTCGCTGTCCGAAAATGCTTTACACTAACTACTGGTCAACTGCTCCATATCTAAGAGTGAAAGGAGAGTTATTTCGCAGACTGTCACAACACGTTTATAACCATTATTATATAATTTATAATTATTATTATAATTGAATTTATAACAAATTTTTCTGCGACAAAAAGTTGGAAAATTCAATATCAGCAATGGATTTGCATGTTAATGACAAACTACGGATTGATCAATCAAATGGGTAGTTATTGGTGGATTATCGACTTACTTAAGTAATTGGTGGATTAATTGATCGATCGATAGATAGAAGTAGTTAGTGACTGATTGGTTGTCTCATTGCTTGGTCCAGACCACTCACAAAAGTGTCCTTAATCTCTTCTTTGATTTTGAATTTAGGAGCAAAATGACTATAATCATATTACTTAGAATGCTTGAGATTTCAGTTTGCTTGGTATGTGGATATTTATATCAATTCAGATTGGAGCCATTCAAAACTCTACAAAGCAAAGCGTCGGCTCTTTGAAAAACACAAGAGTAAACGAAGGTAATATTGAAGTTTCCTTTCTTTTTTTTGATAACTCCGTTTTTTTTTCTTTAATCAAAAGGAAACAATTAATCTGCATGTAGTCTGCGTGTTTTCCTTGATACATAAACGTGGAAAAAAAATGTTTTGTTTTGCCAGACAGGTCCCCTCGTCCAAGATTGGACATGCCCGTTTTTTATTAAGTAAGGGGAGGTGTCATGAAATTGAAAAGCTGACATGACAAGATAATTTTTAGCCTCATATCATTTACTATCGACTGTTTTGTGAGTTATTCACTTCTTTTCCGGCTGTGTTATTGTTGACGTCATAGCAAACAACCCAATTGATATCATCAATATCAAAATATTAATCACGTTGATCTTCGAGATGTAAGCTTGTATGGCCGGTTATTTTGAGATTGAAATCTAAGCAAAATCACTTGGAAAAGTAAACTTGCAGCAAAAAAAAAAACGCTATTTGAAATGCTTGTTGATCAGTAAAGCCGTGAGGAAATGCTCATAATTATAGGTGTCATCTTACATATAACTGAATAATAGCTAAGAAATATACCATCTTTGAGGACTTCCGTTCAACAGCGCTGGAGGATGGAAAAGTCGAAGGTGCTCTTCCAGACACGTACGTTG